ACCCTCCCTCTTCTCCTGCCTCCTCCTGGCTGAATGAGGGCTGGAAGCGGGGCGGCCGGAAGCAGGGGGCGGGGCTTTGTCATGTGCCCCGCTCCCCTGCACCTCACCCGGGGGAACTGCATTCCCCCGCGTTCCCCCCCGAAATGACCTCTGAATATCCTTTCATCATCACATTTTACACAGTAAAAAGGCAAAGTGTCAAGTGTCAATATTTGCAATAGGACTTGAATCAGAATGAGTGTCCATATGGCTTTGGAATGGGTCATCTTTTTCACTGCCCAAATGGACATTTGGTTTTGGGTTTCTTCTGGATGTACTGCAAGGCGGTGAACATAATTTACATATCCATAGATTCTGGAGATGATCTTTTGCAGAAGACTAGCATTACATCAGTAGACAGATGCTTCTAAACAAATCTTTGTTCTCCTGAAGAGCTCTTCGAGACTCAAATGCTTGAGACCTATAAGGTAAATTGGTAGGGAAAAAGCAAAGAACACAATCCATGTATTAACTTTATTAAGACTAACCGAATGACACATAACAATGTGTAAGCTTTCAAGTTCTCCAGAACTCTCATCAGGACAGATGTTACAAAATTTAAAAAGAGGGGAAAAGACAGTTTAAGGAGATATTTTTATGTCCTGGCGTTAAGAACACCTCCTCATGTCAGCTTCTGGAAAGTTTGCTGACCAGCTAAGATACAGCTTTTATAGAAGGCAACCAAGATATGGTACATACACAGATGGGCCTTTACTTCTCATTTTCTCTCATGGAATTTTCTTAAGTCAAAACAGAGCACTCCTGGCTTAGTATTAGCAATTTAAAAATAATTTAAAAATGGCACTAAAAAAGGGTAGAAAGAAGGTGCAACTTGATTTTTGGAATAAGTTTCCAGTTCATCAAAATTAGTCGTTTCAACCCAAAAATTTAAACTGCCAGCTATTTGTTGGATCCCTGAGCAATTATCTCTTAGCAGTGCTACAGAATAATATTGCTGTGATTTGGGCAGGGCTGGCTCACTCACTAGGTGAACTAGGCGTTCGCCTAGGGCAGGCCGGCCCTTAGGGGCGCCAAACTGCCCCCAGCCCCCCTGCCAAAAGCCCCCCCCCACCGCCCCTGCCAAAAGCCCTGACCGGGTGGCCACCGCCACCTCTTTCTCCCCGAAGTCAAGCCGTCTTTTCCCCACCCACCTCCACTACTGGGGCGATCCTCCAAGCCAAAGGAAGCAGCTAGTCCGTCCCCCCCCCCGAGGCTTGGGCAGCCGAGGCTTGGGTGGGGGCGGCGGCGCTGCCACCTGCACCCAGCAGCTAGCGTGGGGGTGCCGCAGTACCACCAGCGGCACCCCTCCCCCCCAAGGCACACGCCAGGCTCCCGAGCCCATTTCAATAATGCAGATCTGTGATAGACAACAAGCAGGAGCTGTGGGGACGGGAGGCATTTCCCTCCTCCACCCGCTTCCAATACTCCCTCTAAGTAGAGTCTTGTGAGCAAGTGACCAGAGGAAGCACCCCAGGCGCTCCATGTCGTCGCTCTCCTCCAGCGTCTCACACACGCCGGCCACTTGCTGTGGGCTGAAGTTGAGCAGCGGCAGCTGGAACATGGAAGCGGCCGAGCTGGGCACCCCCGGCCCGGGTCAAGGCTCTGTGAGACCCACACACACCAGGACTGGCCCGACGGCCCAGCCACCTCCACCTGCCAGGAGCCCGGGTGCTGCCGAGAGGGTGAAAAGGGCCACACAGTCCCAGCGCGCGCTGAGGAGGAGGAAGGAGAGGATTGTGTGAATGGAGGAGGGGAAGGGAGGCTGGGAGGAGAGAGGAAAAAAACCCTCCCCGGGCCGGACCCCCATCACGCACGAACACACACTCTCTCTTTCTCCATCACCGCTGCTGATTTGCTGCTGGTTGGCCTCTCCAGATTGGCTGCCCCTTTGGTTTCCATGGCAGGGCTGACTGTCCATCACTGTCAAGCCAGCTGCCAATCAAACCCTGCGTGCTCCCGGGAGGAGGCGCTCCCCTCTCCAATTTCTTTCAGGTTCTTTCAATTATATGTTGTCTTTCCTATCCCCTATGAAACATTGTTAGTCCCCTGTCTAAAAGTGTAACTGTAAATCACTTTGAGCCCACTTGTGGGGAAAGCGATTAATAAATCGAAAGCATTATTATTACTATTATTATTTCTCCCAGCTTTGGACGGCGCCCAGAGAGCGCAGGCTCGAGAGGGGGTGTCATTTGTATTCCTGGATAGGTATATTTGTGCGTGTCCAGGACCAGAGGGCAGCCAGGCAGCGTGCTGGAGTAGACTGGTCCGGAGCTGTGGGCTGCTGGCCTCTGCTCTCTGTGTAGAGTCCAAAGAGGCTCTGAAATCAGACGATTCAGCCGTGCATTGCTTGAGAAGGAATCGTAGTCAGACGAAGGAAGGTTGGAATGTTTGAAAATTGGTGGGTACACGGGGGGCACCAGAAGGTAGCCTCGTCTAGTGTGCAAAAAACCCTGCCTTTGGGACTGCTGCCAAGATTCATTCTGCGAATGTAGTCAGAGGCTTGTATTTCAGGTAACTGCAAGCACCTTATCGACAGTGTTTCCTTGTTTATACCATTACTGCTACTCTGGTTACTACTTAATATTTACTTCAATAGACGTACAGAGTGACACAGTGCCTGCTTAGAGACCTAACAGTTTAAGATATAACTTTACTCTCTTGATACCATGGGAGATTTTTAAAATCATTCTAATCAAACTAGATATCATTCAGATCAAACCAATTATACTGCCACCTTGGACTGGGGGATGTACACGTTTCCATTGCTTTCCAGTAATTATATGGCAATTTGTTCAAGCACTCGATGCTTCTCGAGGATGGCCTAAGCCAATTTACTTGTGCTGTTCTGAACCGATGATTTCTAACGGAAGGCTCCTAACGGAAGGCTCCTAGGAGATAACTGGCTTTATCTCCTAGGAGCTATATACAGCAGGAACAATGCTAAAGGAGTAGATAGAAAGAAGTTCCCCCCCCCCTTTTCAGCAGCCCTTTGCTGCAGATCCTTCAGATGTTTGGGAACAGTAAGAAAAGAGAAAAAGAAGTGTGATGAAACAAGAGCTGAGTAATGGTAGCAGGATACCAACAGCCCTGAAGAAAAGTCTCAGTGCCAGAAGTGAGGGGGTAGATGGCTGATAACAGCTGTTGCAATGGGTAACAGGATTCAACAAGCTCCAGGGCATGGTGGAATAGTTAAGTTATTTGGGCTGCCATGCTAAGATTTGTCTAGGGCTCCACATCTACAATATCTCAGAGAAGCTTTAAACCCACAACCCCCTGCAACCTTTATAAGGAACAGCCACTTTGTGCGTGAAACGTAAAAATTATTAGGCCAGTAGAATTTAAGATTTGTTCGGACACACACATCCCCATGGGCCATTTAACAACAGGTAGTGACTCCACAAACCATTGGGGGGGGGAAGACACAAGCAAGTACAAAAGATAAGGAAGAGTTCTGGGAAACTCAGAAGACTGTGCAGCTTTTGCGTCATTGTAGCTGGTCCCAATAAAGGTATTACGACTGTGTTTCTCGATATTTTCAAATGCCACTGGTTGAATAAATTCTTCCCAGAGTGCATCTACCAGAGGAATCTTAACAACTTTTCCAATCTATTGATCTGTGGCTTCTTACATTTATGATTCTGGCATCCTCTACTCTTCCTTCGCAGAAGCTCCAACGGTGTACCCTGTACACTGCTACATTCTTACAAAGCAATCTTATGCAGAGTTACTCCACTTTAAGTACACTTCTGTAAGCTAGTCTCAAGCTTAGACTGAAGTAACTCTGCATAGGATTACAGTGCTCGCCTGCCTGATGGCACTGACCTGCTTAGTGTCCTCATTGTATCAGCTTCATGTGCCTTGTGGATTCACTGGCCAATATCGGGTCAATGGGAATCTGAGATGTGGCACAGGCATCCAGCTTGAGATCTCCAGGTTCGCAAATGTATTCTTAAGTACCAACATAGTAACTCAATAATTAAGCAGTAGAACAATCCTTATCTGAAGACAGCAAATGTGCATATCCTTGAAGGTGGAATGCACTTGTATTATTCTACAAAAGGTCTTCTAAAATCCCGGCACTACCTTCAGGATTTTTCACAAAATTAAAAAGGTTCAGTCAAGTGCACATATTACACTGCAGTGTTTTGGGGGTTTGCTGATTTGTTTGATGTGCCCCGGTTTATTATTTTTTAACAGCTGCTTTGGGTACTTTTCAGAGAATAGTGGGGTATAAATACTTAAATGGGCCAATCGATGCTTTAAGACAATCACAACATGCAAAGCAGATGTTTAATGCTACAGTGTCTTTATTTTTCTTTAACAAAATACATAAAATTCACTTACATTGTCATTATTGTACAGGTATAAATAACGTTCAGTATTCAAGTACAATCAAGTGTAGAGATTCCTACGCCTCATGTAAACACAAACTAGCCTTCTATTTCACATGCCTTTAGTCTACCTGCTGTGTAAATAGCCCCAGGGACTGTACCTTGGTTTGCTCCTTTAACTGGATTCTCTCAGCACTTCCCCTCCCCAAAGCATTCTTTCAACTGTAATGACACATCTGTACTGCTTATAGTAAATACCCTAAGCACCATTCCTCCTGTAAACATCTAAGCATTTAACATTTGAGTTCATTTCAATAGCTAAATATTAGAAAATATTCTGAAAGTTTTACTGACCCCTCAGGTTAACTACATGACTCTTTACTGTGCAGTCCTGTGCCAAGATACTCCACTCTAAGCCCACTGACTTCAGCTTGCTTAGAGTGGAGCAGTTCCGCATAGGACTGCAATGTTAAGTCATTTACAGTCTCTCTTTCTTCAATGACCAAATAATACTATATTTTAGATCACTCAGACAGAAAAAAATACTCCTTTAAGCAAGTTTATCTTAGTACACAAAACAAAAACGTAAGGTTACCTGTGCTGGGATTAGACTTCAGCTAATGCGTGGCACTCTGCACTCATAAGAGTGAAAACACAATCAAGCCTTAGGAAACAACCCACCTGAAAACTAACAACTGAAAGAAAGATAGCTCTAAATGGTTAGGCACTTATTCGGCATCTGCCAGAAGTTCTTCTCTTTGGTCAGCTGGAACAATAGACTCGTGTTTTGCCACTGCAGAGGTGCCTTCGCTGGCTAGCTGCTCCGTCTCGGCCTCCCCCTCCACCTGGTCACCGTGCTCCTCAGTGCTCAGTGCTTTGTCCTCTCCCTGGTCCGTCTCAGTAACTGGGGGGTCGTCTTCTAGAGGCTCTGCAAGACGAGCAATGTTGGATTAAATTGAGCACAGAATCCCTCCCCGTGGTACTATCACGTTCTGTGCCATAAGCAAACTTTAAAACCTGAAATCTTACAAAACATGGTTAGAAGGGCCTGCAACACTAGTTCCTTATGGAAAGCAGGACAGAAAATAGGGAAAATGTGTCAGAGGCTGAGGGGATAAAAGGCAAGTTTTATCTCGGAACTTTAATATTAAATAGCAGTCCTGAAACAGAACCAGGCACCAGCTGGGATGGTGTGCTACTTGACTGGATTCCGATCCTGCTTTTTAACTAGTGCCTCCCCAAAGGCTTGCAGCATTTATAAAATGCAATATTCCATTCGTAAAAAGCACTTCTCCATTTAAAACTGCAGAATATATCAGCCTGTGAGAAGTGTGGGTGGGCAGAGAGGAGAAGGGATTGAAAAGCAGAATTTTAAAATACGAAATTCAAACAAATGCAACGCCTGCAAATGATGCTTCTTCTAAGCTGTGGAGTTTTGTGAGCAAAAATTCTACTTTGTGAGCTAATGGCATTAAAGTTGTGAGCGAGCAATTTGGGTATTGCATAAATTAGTTTGCTCTGGAGAAATCCTTCCTGAGTTAAGACAAAAATCTGTGAGCTAGAGGCTGAAAAACTGTGAGCTGGCTCACACTAAATCAGCTTAGAGGGAACACTGCCTGCAAACTAAGTGAACAGCAGCAACAAAAAATGCGGGGAAGAGGAGGAGAAGAGGAAGCTCTGAGTGGAACAGGCATGTGATGGTGTCTTTGCCTCCTCCTCCTTCCCTGGATCTTGCGGCTGTGATTCCCAGCTAAGCTCACGATGTCTCACCTGTACTCCTCCTCACAACTAGACTATATTGGATTACTTTCCCCTAAGAGGGTTGCCCTGAGATCCTCTGCCGAAAGACTCTCTTCATACATTTCTCCTGACTCCCTTCTCCATCGTCTCAGCTACTAGCTCTGAGATTTCCCTGACCTCACTTCAAAACTCATCAGATTTTGCCTCAGCTGCAGGATTTTGACCATGCTCATCTCCATAACCAGGACACAGACCTGACAGTCCCTCCTGGTTCTTAAGGAGGGTTTTCCCTAGACCATTGGGACATATCTTGGCCCAGTGCTCTAGCTTATGTGGCTTACAAACTCCTTTCCCCTCCCCTCCCCACAACAGACACCCTGTGAGGTAGGTGGGGCTGAGAGAGCTCTTGACAGAAACTGCTCTTTTTCAAGAACAGCTCTTATCAGAACTACGGCTTGCCCAAGGTCATCCAGCAGATACAAGTGGAGGAGTGGGGAATCAAACCCGGTTCTCCCAGATTAGAGTCCGCACACTTAACCACTACACCAAACTTAGCCAGTGGTATGTCCAGAAATCTGATATAACTTTCTAAAAGATATTAGTGATGTGAACAGCAAACGCAGAGAACTGAAGTAACTCAGAGAACCAAAGTCAGAGTCCTTCCGAGCAGGATGGGGTTAACTGGTATACTAAACAGACGGCCATGTACAGCACCAGCTAAGCAGGGTTTCCTACTGCACTGCAATTATCTTGGAAATCTCAGGGAGTTTATCAACATCCTCTCCTTGCAATTCCCTTCTGCTCCAAACACAGTGGCTAAACTACACAGCTGAGGTGATCACAAATTGCTATGTAGTCAGCAGCAAGAAAAGCTGGGGAAGTGATGCTATTGCCAGCATGATGTGCAAAACACTATACAAGGCTTCGGAGGTAGGAAAGCAATAAGGATAAGAACAAAGAACATCTTAAATCCAAATCTTATGCACAAATTTCTGTATGTGGTGAGTGCTGACAGGGAACCATGTAAGCTGCTTTGGGTCTCCAACGGGGATAATAGCAGGGTATAAATATCTAAGTAAATAAGTATGGGCCATGGAGACAGAATCCCACTTTTCGTTGATCAAAAAGCTGTAATGCCCAGAGCAATGTCAGAAGCTGTTTAGTAAGATTCACAGTGGTCAGAGGATGGAGCTATATGCCTATACGGCTCCTTGCCTCTCTCCATGACTATTTATTTAAATGTATTTAAAGTCGTTCAACCCACTTTTCTCTCTCTACAGGACCCAATGCAACTAGCAGAAAGAGAACTATGCAAATAGGAAAAGTAGCAAAAACATGCCAAGCAAGAGGAAGCCATCAAATTGTATTTGTAAAATTTACGTGGGTCACAGAATGCATAACCTGAGCACAAAATCCTGATACTCTGCAGCACAAAATACACATATTACTGTCATCGTCACTGCTCAGTTTCAAAGGACAGCTAACAGTATCCAGCTGTCCTCAAATGCTATTGCCATACCCAGAGCAATCAAGGCAAGACTGAGGTAATGTTGATTGCTAAGACTGAATTCTTGCAACGTATGGGACTTCTTAACTTTGATAATGCAAGATTATCTCAGATGCTGTTAGGAGTCTGTTGATGCTAGCTCCTGCCCTCCTGCTGGAGAAACAGGTTAATGGTATGGCCAAAAGTGTGGTTTATCATGTTGACTTGGTGTGGAAAATGGCTTGCCATTTGGATTCCATTGATCTGCCCATGCTGATCCCTGCCACAGTAACCCTGAGGATGGACTGTTAGCCATGCTCCACATGGGACTGCCCTTGAAGATAACTTGGACTTGGTACAATATTCTTCAGCTCATTTATTAGCAGGAGCTGGTCAAAATGTGCTTATTACTCCAGATTTAAGAACACTGCACTGGTTGCCTCTTTGTCTCCCGGCCCTATTCAAGGTGATGGTTATTGCCTACTAAGACCTTTATGGTCTAGGACTTCATATCAGTAAGACCACCTCTTCCAACAGGAACTGGTAAAGAGATCCATTCTTCAGCTCAAGACCTTCTAAAGATACCAACATGTAACAGATACAGTAATTGTCCTACTGAACCACAGAGGGTTTTTTTTTCCATTGGCTCTTGAATTATGTATCAGGAATGTATCAGGAAGCCCCCAAGTTGCTGGCATTCCAGGACAAAATCTGTAGATAGTTTCAGCACCAACATATCCACCTCCTTTCGTTTGCATTTATTCACCACTTGCAAAGATATAAAGCCCTGAACTTCCTTTGAACAGACCCTGCTAGCTTTTTCCAAAGCAGTTACTTTTCAGCTAGAAATTAGAGAGAGTAATTCTAAGGAGGTCTACCCAGAAGTCTACTCAACAGGGCTTAATCCCAGGAAAACATTCTTAGGACTGAGCTGTTAGGCAACAAGAAGCTCATGTTGTAGCTTAACCATCACCCCCAAAGCTGCTTATATCATGAACTTTCTGTTCAAGAAAATTCTACATTAACCTGGTACAAACAAGGCTGCAGTCAGATGTCATGAAAAAGCCTTTGTTTGTGATGGGCATGAAGCTGGCAAGTGCTTGTGCTTGGATACTCCCTCCGTCCCTCCTCCCATTGCATGTGGAGAATGACAGAGCTTGCTGGTTTTGGAAGTCTTCCATCCAAATCCAATATATTATGACATCTGAATGTAAGCGCTGGAACAAACTGAATTTCTTTCTTCCTCAAAAACTAGGGTTCTGTGCCAATGCAATTTGTTTCATTCCCATGAAGTGGGATTTCAAATTTCAATTTGTCCAAACACTGGCAATGACATCTCAAAACAAACTGGAGTTACATGAAACACTTCGAAACCTTCAGCGGTGCTCCATGTGTGAGGCTGGGGGAAGAGGCAGGGAGTATGTGAACACGGCCGTTAACCAGACTTGTACACAGCACAAACACCCAGGTGCATATGCAAAGTCAGAAAGGAACCTGATGGTTTTATTTGGTCCTATTGTTATGTATGGCATTTGCCTCTTGTTAGCCGCCCTGAGCCCATGTGGAAGGGTGGGATATAAGTCTAATAAATAAATAATAAATAAATAAATAACCAGGTCTTACAGTACAAATCTTGAATAGAATCCTGCATACATTACATAGCAATACTACTGAACTCTGAACATGTGCTCAGTGAGAAGGATAATGTGAAATATTCAACTATAGACTACAAGAAGTCTAATGTACTGTTAGTGCTAGTAAGACTATCATGTGCAAAAGGTTAAGGTGACATCTTCATTTCCAGCCTTTGGGGGGGGGTACAGATGGAAAGGAATCCCTGCACTTGCTGGGGTTGCCAATATTTGACGGCTGCTGTTATTGCTCACACTGCTGAAAAAAAGCTAATTGCCTTTAATCTTTTATACTACTATTAGCTTTTCAAGGTTTCACTGTTACTGTATCTTAAGTGGGGGGGGGGGGTTGTATTTTAATTTTCTCCCATGTTAGCTTTCTCCTCGCCAGGCAGAGAGGTGGCGTATTCTAAATCAAAATTAATCTGAACTTTCATCGTGCCGTCCATCAGAGGAAAACAGATATCATTCTGCATGAACAGCATAAATGGCTTTGACAAATAGCAGTACTTTTTGTAGGCAGTTGCCTATAACACTGCTAAACACTCTTGGATGAACAAATATCTAGATTCCAAATTTCAGATTCTATCCGTGTATATCCTAAGGAAGCTTCCCTACCTGAAGTCTCACACTGATCTGGGTTCTTTTTAGAAAGAAAAAGGCAGAGAGTTACATTCTAATATATATTCTTAAATCACTGCATTTCGGTTAGTGGAATGATTGCTGTATTTTTACCCTATAAAACATCTCAAAAAGAACTGCGTTGAATTAAAGTTGACAATCTGTCTCTGAAGTCCCCATTTTAAAACAAAGTCAGTTTTACTAGCTCCACTGCCCTAGGGAAAAGAGTGAACTGACTTAATGAACAAAGGAGGAACTGCAACCTTGCCTCAACCCAATGACCTGCTCAAAACAATGAAATTTAACCACCCTGGGATCCAGATCCTCTTTCAGGGTAAAGGCTGGCTTTTATACATTTTGGACAGAAGAAACACAGGGCTGTGTCAAGAAGCCAGAGGGAACAAGACAGTTCAGCAGACCCTCCTTTACAGACGCAAAGGATGTGAATGAAGATACAAGGAGCCAGGTTGCTGCACAGGTACATGGAGAGGGAGAGAGTGTCCTCCAAGCTGGTGAGCCCCCAAGTCATGACAAGCTTTAAAAGGTAAGGACCAGCACACAAAAACAGAAAATGTAATCCTTAGAAAAACAAGACCCCTCCAAAACAACAACAACAATGCTTCCCCTCTCCCCATATATAGCACACGATGAGCAGCTATAACATGGGGGGGGGGGAACCTTTCAAATCGCCACAACAAACTGCTATAATTAACTCAGTGGCAAACCGAGTAGATCTATACGTGCCGTCAACCATTTGGCTCTCTTGTAGCTTCTCTTCCTCCGACTCTGGTGATTCTGCAGTTTTCTGCAACTCGGTAGGCTGCTTCTTTTCAGCACTGTAATCAAGGAGTCGCGGAGCTTGTGGCCTCGTTTTTCTTGCAGGATTCAGGAAAAAGCAGTAGGCACATCTGAATGCTGCGCAGAAAGGGTTTATACAAACACATCCAGTAAGCTCACTGAACAGAAATGGCTCCTGAGCCTTAATATGCCTTGCTATGACCTTTTTCAGTACCCGGAAAATGATAACAGGCCGCTAACAAAGCCTCACCCTATGCTTTTAAAAGTAACCAGCCACTGAACTTCTCTCTCCCTCCCCTTCCCATTATTAGCTGTTTACTGTGTTTTCAGTCTAAACAACGCTGAAAACCTTATGTGGAAACCTCCCTCCATATATTTTTTTTTTTGAACAGGCAAGTCTCCACTCAAATGATAAATTGCTGTTGCATATTTTCAAACACCTTTTGAGTCTGCAGCTCATGCTTGGTACAACTGCTCTTTTCTTTCATGTTAATAAACGTCCAGTGTATGGAAAGGTCAGGAACATAATTACACCTCAAGGCAGCTTTTTTCAAATTTCTGGAATTAGGAACCCTTCCCTACTGAACAACCTTACTATCCACCCGGTTTCCCTCCCCCCGCCACATCTAATCTAGTGCTAGCCATCTGTTTGGCACGTGAATACATCTGCATGAGTGTAGGTCATTGCTGTTGGGGATGGAACAACATATTGGAACACCAAAAAAAATAAAAAATACAGGCTCTTCCTTTTGTCAGGGGCTCTCCCACATTTGGCTCCTCTTGCCCTTCCTGGAGACTCTCAGGTGTAAAAGCTTCTGCAGCTGGAGGTGTTTGGGGCTTGATTGTCTTTGAAACAATTTCCTCTTTAAACCCTTCCCATTACTACCATGCAATTCAATGGGAACACTGTGATGGCAGCAGTAGTGTCAGAGTACACATACAACCCAGAACAGATATTGTGGGACGTGGTGGTTGGCTGTGTATTAGCTGGAAGCAACAAGTATCAGCTGGTTCCAAGAGGTCATCAGCATATGTAATTAGGGTGGGCAGAAACAGATAAATTAATTTTCTCTTACTCCAAGTATTCAAAAACAGATGGATAACCTTGTAAGGCGATTTTGCAGCAATGTTTTGCACTTTGCTCTTAAAAAGAAAAACCTTACAGCCATGTGGAATGCCAAACCACGATTCAGTATTATTTCACACTGATTCCTGCTCTCATCTGCAAGTTCCCCCCTGTACTTTGGTTTGGTTGGGAACCCACTTCCTGTTGGGAAGGCAAATACAAGCTACAGTTTGCTGTGAAAGATGAAATGCAGGAAGGCAGACTCTGAGTCCAAAACTCCTCTGTAGAATCTGGTCTATGAACTAGCCCTTATTCAAAAACTGATCCAATATTTTGAAAGACGCCTATGACGTCTGAAATTTCTGGATTCTAGGAAGAAAATGTTCACAGACGTTTCTTTGTCCTTCGCCAGCCCTGTTCACTGACTGCACTTGTACAACATAAAACTTGTACTCATTTTAGCATTTTGTTTTCCTATAGGTAGTCTGACTCTATATATATTATAGGGGTTGGGGGATATTCAAAATCTGTATGACTGATACATAAATTTAAGGACTGTAGCAAATCACTCTACAAAACAGTTACAGAAGTCATTATAGTTCTATAGCCTTCTGTAAGGAGACGTAATCCCAGGGAAAGAAACGGTTTGGAATATCACACTCTCATTGTCTGGGAAATATTCCTAACCCCTAAAAGACCAAAGTTGTCATGCCATGAAGCAAAACAATGATGTATTGGGCTAACTACCCCAAATAAACCTTATGTTATTTACATGTAGAATATGGCTTCTAGTTTCTAATGAATGTATGTCAAGTTGAAGAAATCCATTCAGAAGGGCTTAGGCCGAATCTTTGGCACATACCTCACTGCTGGGGAAATATTTCAGCAAAAGCGTCTTCTTACAAGAACACGTTAAATGCACTGACTATTTAAATATTTCCTGAATAGTGAATATTTTCTGAGCCAAGCAAATGAGCAGACACACCCACATGAAACAGAAAAGAGCAATGGTCTGGGATAATTTCTTTCCCCTTACTTTGTTTGCTGAAAAGAGGAAAAATACACATCTGTGCTCAACGATGAGCGGAATCTGTCTTAAGTTACTGTCAGCCATAAAACTAAAGAATAACTGTGGGAGTTGGTTTCCATTCCCTCTGATGCCTCCCTAAGATTTTTGCCATGGGAGCAAATTTTGTTAAAGATTTGGTACAAGTGAAAAGAGAGTTGGAGAGGTTCTAGAGAGAAAACTGTCCATGGCTCTGTTCTCAGACCACAGCAATCCTTGTTTCTGTAGCCCAGTTTTCATGGAGCTTTGCACAGATTTCTTGACCCAGACATTACAGAACTTAAAAAACTTTAGGAATGCATTCT